GTTTCGAAAGCATTCCACTGGGATGCTGGCCCATATTGACTCCAATGCTTCCCACAGTTGTGTCAAGTTGGCTGGATGGCATTTGGGTGGTGGACCATTCTTGATTTACATGGGAAACTGTTGAGCATGAAAAACCCAGCAGTGTTGCAGTTCTTGACACAAACTGGTGCGCCTGACACCTACTGCCATACCCCGTTCAAAGGCACTTAAATCTTTTGTCTTGCCCATTTACCCTCTGAAGGGCACACAAAAAATCCTTATTTAACCTGTCTCCTCCCCTTCATCTACACTGAGTGAAGTGGATTTAACAATTGACATCAAGGGATCATAGCTTTCACCTGGATTCAACTGTTCAGTCTATGTCATGGAAAGAGCAGGTGTTTTTAATGTTTTGTATACTCAGTGTATATCCTCTTTTAGTTTTATGGCCACTTTGTTTTTACAAAGCCTTTTTCATTTGTCTTCTGTTTTTTATTATTTTGATTTTAACAAATGGCCGTAAACATACATCCTGTTTTTGACACTGCTTTTAAGTTGCGATAACACACACACACACACACACACACACACACACACACACACACACACACACACACACACACACACACACACACACACACACACATGCTCACACACACAGTGGCTGAAAGGGTCAGTTGTGTGGAGACCCCAGTGGTATGGTTCTTACCCAGTAAATGCAGCTGGAAAGATTATTCCTCAGTGGAGGGAGACCTCTTAATACAGTGCCGGAGGCAGGGGCAGTGGAAATTGCAGTGCTGAGGGTTAGTGAGATAGCCCCTCCGATCTTGATTATGTCCCCTACCCTATCCCTTATGTCCACTGGCTAGAAGCAGAGAGAGCGAGGGCTAGACCCTACCCCCTTGTCCCCCTCTTCCCCTCGGCTGGCGTTCAGTCCCCTGCCAGTCACATTACAAAGAACTGCCATTACAAACACACTCATCTGTTCTAAATCTGTTTCTCTCGCTCTCTCTCTCTCTCTCTCTCTCTCTCTCTCTCTCTCTCCTCTCTCTCTCTCTTTCTCTTTCTCCCCCCTCTCTCTCTCTCTCTCTCTCTCGCTCTCAGTGATCTGCTGAATATTGTCCCATAAGCCTTTGAAATGTGTCCTGTGCCTAGGTAATCATCCCACTGACTCGCTGCTTAGATTATAACAGCCCTGCCTGCCTGGTGATGTGGGGACGTTTCCCCAAAGTCGCTGACTGAGGCGTGCCTGCCGGGAGGATGTCTACATTCACAGCAAATGATCCCCTTTTGATATTTACATGCTTCAGCGAGGAAACTCGCCATGACCGTGTAATAAGGATACGCTTGGCCCAGTCGCCGCTAGACAAAGCAACCTTGATAGATGTCCAGGCTGGTATGTGGAAGGGAGGAAATGTATCAGGTAATGTGTGCCAGCAGTGCTGGGAACAGACAGCTCCTTCTGATGGAATTGCCCTTTCCTTCAGAAAAACTGTAGCTTGTTTGCAGCTCCTATTAAACCCCTCTTGACCTCCAGTAATAGGTTGAATTTGAAGCTCATTTAAAAATGTTGTTCCTTTTTTCACTTAATAATAGAGTTTGCATATAGAGAACCTACCCCTCACTGCTTCACGTTGAACTCTCATAAAATAGTGTTGATAGTGCATTATTGGCCGAGATGGGGTGGGGGGGGAAACAACCCAGGAAGCTATTTGCAAAGAGCTGGACGGCGAAGCTTTTTGATGTCATTGCCCTAAGACCATTACATTTGATTGGGGGTCCGGGGGGGACGGATTCTGCTGTGCTTTGTAAATGAGAGGACAAAGTGTCACCGGGGCCTCATGAATATGAAATAGCCGGCCTGCCTTTATTTGGATATCAGAAACACAGATGAATCTTGTCAGCGGCTAAACGAGTGTGGCATCTTTTTAAATTCTTTTTTTTTTTAAGAGAAAGGAATGAGTTATCAACTGATGATGAGGGTTGTTATCTGTGCAAAGTGGATGGAATTTGACCAGGTTTTTTCCTGTTTCCTTCAACTGAAGAATCCTTCAGAACCTTAATCCTTTTTCTCATTTAGCTTATTCTATGAACACAAATAACTTCCTTTTTTAGTATTTTTCTTTTGTCATTGCTGAAATATTTGCTTATACAGTTATATGAGAATATTAGAGACTAAACATCTCAGAGCATCTTTATTTTGCAACCACCAGTGTGTTTTCAAAAAAGTATTTTGAAGGAATAGTGACACAGATGTACAAATATTTGATTGTGCCTCTTTAGCTCCTCTTTTGCTCCCTCCCTACCGCTCCCCTGTTTCTCCCGGCCTATTCACTGACACCTAGCACACTGTCTGTCTGGAAGAAGTCAGAAGGAAATGTAGCTACACTGTTCAACGGTTATGGCTAGATGGTATACAGCTACGGATGGAAGTGCGTATAAATCGTCAACATTTAAGCATTTTAACTAACCCTAAACCTAACCATTGTCCTAACCTTAACCTAATTCTCCTGCTACATTCATTATCCTAACCTGCTGAATAAGTTATTCTAACCCGCTGATTTCTGTTCATAGTTGTATACCATATAGTCCTCACCTTTTCAACTGCCTTCAAACAAAACCAGTATTGAAAAAAGACAAAACACCTGAAAAAAGACATATCCTCTTAGGGCACGTGGGTTGTTCTGTCTCTGCTTTTGTGTTCCTTTAAAGTTGTTACATGGCAACAAGGACTAGGTAGATGTCTGTGACTTTAATGTTGACAGGCAAAACTCTACACTGAAAAAGGTTCTTAAATGGTTCTTCCTCTGCTCTTAAGGTTCCTTGGAGAACTCTTGCCCGATAAAGAACATTTGAGTTAAATCAGGGGTTCTTGACGTGTCATCTACGTTTCTTCAGAATTTTAAACGTTTCTTGAAATGTATGGATGCCTGCAGATGTGTCTCTTTCATAGCACACAGCAAATTGGCCAGTTTTAACTAGTGTACATTTTTCAGTGTAACATTTCTAGTGTTGATTCAGGTGTTAAATTAACTCTGTAAAGAGTTAAATTAACTCTCAGTGGTGTAAAATAACCCCAGTGTTGGTGTTAATAGAGTTTCAGGCCACTTTATTAAGGTAAAACTAGGTGCTTAAAATAAGGCCTTATGAAATATACACATTCACTTAGGATCTCACTTAAAGGTCACAGGACTGAAAATGAATGAATGCAAAAACAATGTCTCTGTCACCAGCAAACACAGTCATGGGTGGTACTGGTAACTCTAAAATTCACTCAAAAGGAACCCTGGGAAATATGCAAATAAATATTTGCATAAAGTAAGGTGTTGAGTGTGTGTGGTTCTTCAAAGAACCATCCCATTTAAGGTTCTTCAGAGAACCTAAAATGGTTCCCCTATGGCATCGCTCTGAAGAACCTTATTTGGTTCCGACTGGAACCTTTATTTTTAAGAGTGTCATTGCAAAAGTATGAATTGATCGGTTTCAGTTGTGTCAGTAGTGGAGACCTACTTTCCCTCAGATGATGTAATATACTTGTAGTTCATCTATTTCTATTTTGTTGTGTTTGTTTATAACATGGCATAATGAATGTATTAATTTCATATTAATTGTACAGGTACATTTAGTGGCTTCAACATTTTAATATTCATCACAGTCTGTCTGTCTTGCTCACCTCCCCTTCTCCCACTCTAACAAAAGTCCATCTGAAATGTGCTGTGAAAGTTTGCCCGTCCTTCTTGGGAGCTGAGCCATCCTCTGTCCTGTTGCGTTTTGCCAATTAAAGCGGGTTCCCACTGTTTGAGCAGCGGGCTAGTGGCTCCTGGCACCGCAGCCCCTGCCAGGCCGCACCGTGACTTCCGACCCCACACAGATGGGCCCGCCAGCAAATACTCTTGCACATGGCTTGATGCCGCCCCGGTCCGAGTGGCAGAGTGGACACTGAGGTCGGCCTGCCGGCCACCACGGGTCCTGGGGGTGGGTGGCGCTGACAGGGCCAAAATGCTGGGGTAGCGGGGGGTTCTTTCCGGGGAGCCCCTGGCCAGCGCCCCTCTCGCAGCAGGAAGAGCTGCCGCCTGGTCTCCTGAATATTCATGGCCGCCTGGCTATTGTGACAGGGCAGCTCTACGGAGGATGTAGGGAGAGAGAGTGGGAGAGGACGAATCAGGTGCCAATTTACTCCCAGACACTCACACTTACACGCACACACACACATACAAACACACACACAAACTGTCATACCAAACACAAAGAAGACTGTATCTTTGAAATGAGTGTTTCTGTAATCCATGTCCAGTTTTTAATGTGGTTGACCACTATTGCATCGCAGTTAACACTTTAGGTGTTGAGATTGAATTACTAAATAATGGAGAGGGTGACATTGATGAGATATTGATATGTCCTGGATGTATGTTGTGTTTTAGATATACCAGTGATCCCAGACCTTGATGAAGAACAAGAGGAAGACCTTACCATGCAAGTTGCTGCTCCTCCAAGGTACTGTAAAAACATCTCACGCTCTACTTTAGTTGACTCCAGTTACTCTCACTGTTAGATGGCATACCATCACTCCATTTTCATGGTTGATGAAGTGCATCCTTTTGGTCAGTCTTGCACTTAAGTGAATACAGACACACCTGCACACCCTCTCACAAATTCTGTCTCTGACTGCAGAACTCTGTTATAAGTGACCTGACAGCTGTTCAGATGTTCATATATTACCAGATTCACCATACCTCTGGAGGGTTACTGACCCATCCTCAGAGCCATGTGCAGTACCTGTCCTACATCTTAACATCAAGGAGAGTAAAATATAAGAATGCGCTGGTCTTACATGGTGACTGACTGTTACTTTGCCTCCTCTCATGGTATTGAAGGTGTCTTGGCATATTGGGCCATTATGCAGAAATAACAGTTGAGATGTGATTTATGCGCGGCTGTTAGCGAGGCCCTTACTAACAGGGCCCTTTGATTTACAGGGCAGTGAGAGACACGCCGACATGTGTCCGCTATGTTGCGCTGCTATGACAGCGGCGGAGGTTATTAGGCTGGGACCTGCTCTCTGTGCGAGATAATATCCGCATTGAACTCATTGCGGGGGCAATGTAGCGTGTAATGTGCAGTAAGTAGGACTGGCATGCACTGCTAGGCCCTGGCCACTTTCAGAGCCCCCCTCTTAATTCCAACTACAGATAAGCAGCTGGGTTTCAATTTGAGGTGGTTACCACTTGGCGCCCATCTCCTGATCTCTCTGTTCTTTAATGAACTCTCTGTGCCCTGTGTGCATTACCTCAAAGTTCTGAGAAGCTATCTGTCTCACAGAGTGATACTTGCAAGTTGTATTGTACTATGATACAGCTTCTAGTTTGGTCTGGTGATACCTTACTGATGCAGGTAGTGAATACTTTACTGTATTTCAATAGACATGCACTAATCAGGCTAGTGAGGAAAAGCATGCCAACAAGTACATGTTTGGTATAGTAGCTACCAGTGATGGTCGGTGCTGTTTGAGATGAGGGAGGACAATCCTTTTTTTAATGAGCATGGCCTTATTTCTATTACTGCATATTGGATGACTGTCATTCATATTCCATTCACCTAGTTCAATGTAACATCGATAGGTTTAGGCTACTACATGATACTCAAATTTTCCCTGTACCCATCATGAGGTTGCTACAACTTGAGTAATCAAGGTGACAGACATTGACACATTCAATACCGCCTTGCAAAATCTTGCCTGCATCTACAGTGAGGGAAAAAAGTATTTGATCCCCTGCTGATTTTGTACGTTTGCCCACTGACAAAGAAATGATCAGTCTACAATTTTAATGGTAGGTTTATTTGAACAGTGAGAGACAGAATAACAACAAAAAAATCCAGAAAAACGCATGTCAAAAATGTCATAAATTGATTTGCATTTTAATGAGGGAAATAAGTACTTGACCCCCTCTCAATCAGAAAGATTTCTGGCTCCCAGGTGTCTTTTATACAGGTAACGAGCTGAGATTAGGAGCACACTCTTAAAGGGAGTGCTCCTAATCTCAGCTTGTTACCTGTATAAAAGACACCTGTCCACAGAAGCAATCAATCAATCAGGTTCCAAACTCTCCACCATGGCCAAGACCAAAGAGCTCTCCAAGGATGTCTGGGACAAGATTGTAGACCTACACAAGGCTGGAATGGGCTACAAGACCATCGCCAAGCAGCTTGGTGAGAAGGTGACAAGAGTTGGTGTGATTATTCGCAAATGGAAGAAACACAAAAGAACTGTCAATCTCCCTCGGCCTGGGGCTCCATGCAAGATCTCACCTCGTGGAGTTCTAATGATCATGAGAACGGTGAGGAATCAGCCCAGAACCACACGGGAGGATCTTGTCAATGATCTCAAGGCAGCTGGGACCATAGTCACCAAGAAAACAATTGGTAACACACTACGCCATGAGGGACTGAAATCCTGCAGTGCCCGCAAGGTCCCCCTGCTCAAGAAAGCACATATACAGGCCTGTCTGAAGTTTGCCAATGAACATCTGAATGATTCAGAGGAGAACTGGGTGAAAGTGTTGTGGTCAGATGAGACCAAAATGGAGCTCTTTGGCATCAACTCAACTCGCCGTGTTTGGAGGAGGAATGCTGTCTATGACCCCAAGAACACCATCCCCACCGTCAAACATGGAGGTGGAAACATTATGCTTTGGGTGTGTTTTTCTGCTAAGGGGACAGGACAACTTCACTGCATCAAAGGGACGATGGATGGGGCCATGTACCGTCAAATGTTGGGTGGGAACCTCCTTCCCTCAGCCAGGGCATTGACAATTGGTCGTGGATGGATATTCCAGCATGACAATGACCCAAAACACACGGCCAAGGCAACAAAGGAGTGGCTCAAGAAGAAGCACATTAAGGTCCTGGAGTGGCCTAGCCAGTCTCCAGACCTTAATCCCATAGAAAATCTGTGGAGGGAGCTGAATGTTCGAGTTGCCAAATGTCAGCCTCGAAACCTTAATGACTTGGAGAAGATCTGCAGGAATGGGACAAAATCCCTCCTGAGATTTGTGCAAACCTGGTGGCCAACTACAAGAAACATCTGACCTCTGTGATTGCCAACAAGGGTTTTGCCACCAAGTACTAAGTCATGTTTTGCAGAGGGGTCAAATACTTATTTCCCTCATTAAAATGCAAATCAATTTATAACATTTTTGACATGCGTTTCTCTGGATTTTGTTGTTGTTATTCTTTCTCTCACTGTTCAAATAAACCTACCATTAAAATTATAGACTGATCATGTCTTTGTCAGTGGGCAAACGTACAAAATCAGCAGGGGATCAAATACTTTTTTCCCTCACTGTAGCTGATCTAGAGTGTAATCTTTAGTCCAACAGTTGCAAACAAGAGTTTCTATTGGACAAATTCAGATATGCACTGCAGTGCTAGCTATCTGTATTATGCTTATGCTTTCAGTACTAAATTCATTCTCTGATCCTTTGATTGGGTGGACAACATGTCAGTTGTAAGTCTATGGAAGGTGTTGAGAACCACGAGCCTCCTAGGTTTTGTATTGAAGTCAATGTACCCGGAGGAGGACGGAAACGAGCTGTCCTCCGGCTACACCATGGTGCTACCCTACAAAGTGCTATTGAGGCTAGTGTTGACCTTCATTGCAAAACAGTGTGTTTTAATCAATTATTTGGTGACGTGAATATATTTAATTTAGTTTTATCTAAAAATGATAACTTTTGTAATGTTTTACTATTTTTATTTTTATGAAATTCACTGAGGAGGATGGTCCTCCCCTTCCTCCTCTGAGGAGCCTCCACTGGTAGCTACATTTATTATGGGATTTTTGTTTACAAAGTGGTTGTCCTTCTCCCCAGCATCCAGGTGAACAAGGTAATAACATACAGAGATCTGGACAATGACCTCATGAAGTACTCTGCCTTCCAGATCCTGGTAAGACATCTCATATGGGAAAACACACACACAGCCAGGTTTCAACGGCTCATTTATTTTTACTCTGTAAGAGATTACCCAGTCCTCTCTCTTCCTTAAGGAGGTCCTTTTAGGATGCATCCAATATAAATGACCTCTGTCTGTGGAGTGTGTTTCTGCAAGCTCATGGTGTTCTCATAAGGTCTCTGCCTCTCGCTAGGACGGTGAGATTGACTTGAAGCTCCTCACCAAGGTTTTAGCTCCAGAGCAGGAGGTGAGGGAGTTTTTTGTAAATATAGGCACTGTGTACCCTGTGAGGGGGTGTCCAGATGTTCCTGAAGCACCAGGGGAGGTTGTCTCCCAGGTAATCAAGATTTATGATGTGTGCATTAACAAGCTCTACTCTCTTTCTCTCACCTTCCCTTGCCTTGCGCTCCTTCTCCCCCTCTGGTCCCTTCCTCTCTCTCTGTTTCTTATTTACCCCTCTTTTCTCTCACACTTCCCTCATCTTTTTTTTTTTTTCCCCTCATCTTTATTACCCTATATATTTTCTTCCTCCCCATTTCATCTCTTTCTTTTCCCATATTATCTCTCTCTGTCTCTGTCTCTGTCTCTGTCTCTGTCTCTGTCTCTGTCTCTGTCTCTGTCTCTGTCTCTGTCTCTGTCTCTGTCTCTGTCTCTGTCTCTGTCTCTGTCTGTCTCTCTCTCTCTCTCTCTCTCTCTCTCTCTCTCTCTCTCTCTCTCTCTCTCTTCTCTATCTCTCTCTCTCTCTCTCTCTCTTTCTCTGTCTCTGTCTCTGTCTCTGTCTCTGTCTCTGTCTCTGTCTCTGTCTCTGTCTCTCTCTCTCTCTCTCTCTCTCTCTGTCTCAGGAGGACATGGGTTGGAACTGGGATCATCTGTTTACAGAGGTGTCCTCAGAGCTGCTGACAGAATGGGATCAAGGAGAGAAAGAGGAGCAGGTCCTGCTGTCTGTGTTATGAGGACAAGCCTCCCCAGGATGGGATAAAGTGGACCAGAACGCCTCCTCTGGGACCTGGGTGGGTGCATGTCAATGCTCCGTTGAAACATAGGGACCATCAAATATACATAGCTTGCCTCATATTGTTGTTCATTTTTATTTATTGTGAAATAAATTACTCTAATATTATAGTAGGTTCCAAATGAATTATCTCCTCTTAAACACAGAACTTTAGTAACACATGTTATTTAACTGCAGTGCTATCTGTTTAACTCTATCAAAACTACTAAAAGACAAACTCACTTTTACTTTAGAAAGCCTTCTAAATGATCTGATAAAGATCAACATGCCCCTTCGTTCGTCTTCCGCCTGTATTATCAACCCCCCTACAACCTCAGTCAGATACAAGTCCAAGGTTGATAATCAGCTAAGCTGAAATCCATTTGATTGTGTTCAAATTAACATTGTTCATTAAAGCCCACAACCTTATTGTTATTGACTGTGCCATTGACTTTATCTTTCAGCTCTTCGACAAGAGCAGCCCCTTCTTCACTATTATCTCAAATTAATTGAACACACTTCCTATTGACACCTAGGGGATTAGCATACATTATATAGGAAGACATCTTCCTCTTTAGCAGATGGCTAGGGGTGTCCAGGTGCATGCTCTCTCAAAACTTACAGAACAACCATGCATCAAACCTAAACCATGGGGCCTTAGGAGAGGCAGTAATACACAGGCCCCCAGTGTCTGGTCTGGAGCGTGAGTCACGTGATCTGCTGGTCGGCTACTGCATAGCAACCTAGTGGTGGCAAAAGCCCTGGTCTGCCCTAGAAAGCCTATGGTCAAACAAAACAAATGTAGACAACCATTTTGGGCTCCAAAATTAGTTTAAAATGATCAAGTTCGATCCCTGTGGTGAATTATTTTAAAGTTCGATACAAATCGAGATATTTAATTAAATAGTGATCCATTCTGACTACTACATTTGTCTTCACACAGGACCACGTGCTAACACAGACCAATCACGGGCCGGAAGGCGACGAGGAGGCTCGCACCCCGAGGCCATAGACATTGACCATGTTCGAGAGCATCAAAACCATATTATAAACTGGGTGGTTCGAGCCCTGAATGCTGATTGTCTGAAAGCCGTGGTATATCAGACCGTATACCATGGGTATGACAAAACATTTATTTTTACTCTTCTAATTACGTTGGTAACCAGTTTATAATAGCAATAAGGCACTTCGGGGGTTTGTGGTATATGGTCAATATACCACGGCTAAGGGCTGTATCCAAGCACTCTGCGTTGCGTCTTGCTTAAGAACAGCCCTTAGCCGTGGTATATTGGCCATATACCACACCCCCTCAGGCCTTATTGCTTAAATGTATCATGGGTAAATTGGGACTGACTGACTGATCTATAAATATTAATGAGTAGTTATTTATGATGCAAGGGGATTTGTAGATCAGTCAGTCAGCAGCCACCTGCACTGTCGGCTGCATTGTCGAACAAGCCCACTAAGATTGACTCTCTCAGACAGGATGAAAACCAGTAGTTGTGTGTGGGTAAAATCACTGGGGAAGCCAAGCCAGAAAAAAAAGCCATATTACAACCTACTGTATGTGTTGTGTTAATTGCGTTACTTGCTCTATAACCTGTTAGTTCATATGCCTTGCAACCGTGATATATAGGCCTAAGGCCGAGACAATAAGAAGAAACAATGGCAGAATAAATTCAACCACACCTTTGTTTCATCACAAAACCGGAGAGCAACCTCTGTCCGGTGAAGTCCACAAAGCATATTGCATGTAACAGACAGTTACATGGCCTACAGCATGGTCAAGCAAGTTAATGTTTCAGAAATGTTCGGACCACTAAACAGCTATTGATTTAGAACCACGGAGAGTTACCGCAAGTCGCAAAGAAAACAGGAGCTGCCTCCAGTATTCCAAGCTTAGTCTAATACAGTGATAACTAAAAGATACCAAAAACAATTCAGTCCAATCAACGTAAGCTAAATATGATGTGGCTGTCTATTGTTCTGATTTGTGTGTGTGTGTGCGTTCGTTTGTGCAAGTAAAAAAACATGTTGACTCACCCTACTTGTAGAGAAAGGCCAATGCCGTCCTCCTCTCTTTCATGTTGACGAAACATTCTATGACTGTCATAGAGTACACGCTTTTAGTTTTTGTTGTGCTAGGCTACCTGGCTAAAATGCTTGCTCGCTAGCCTATCTTCCTTTCATGGGCAACGTTAGCTAGTTAACATTAGCCTTCTACATCTAGCTACATATTGAACTTCCATCCTCTCAGTCCAGGGGCACAATGTATGAATTTATGGTTGGATCAGAATTGCTGTTATAATCATTGGCCAGTATGGAGAATTAAGTAAAACCAAGTCCAAATCCCTATCTCCATCCATGGCTAATTTAGGAAAGGGCCAATTTTAGCTACCTAGCTAGCCACTGGAGGACAACAACACAATGAGATGCAACAATTCAAGTATTTTCTGTCAATTACGTATTTCTCTCGATGCGACGTGATAGGAGTGAAGCCAAATACAAACTGGTTTCCCTTGACACTTTTTTTTGGTGCGCCAGGACAATTCACAGTTGAGCTCAATGCTGATTGGCTATTATTTTAAACTTTTTTTTACCAAGGGAGGCCAAATGCTCGCTGGCTTCCCTTGCATTCAATGCTACCAGCGGCAACAATATCATACTCTTTTTGACCAGACAGCATCAGATAGATGGCCTACACATACAGAAACAGAAGGGTGCTGTTTCGCTCGCTCGGATGCTTTCTCCGGTGAGATACATTCAGCCTCTTGTGAATTGAAGGAAAATGATGAAACACAGAGAGACGAAAGATACGTTATTTTATATGTTTTTTTCTTTTTTTCTAAGTCAATTTTTTTGGGAAGCCTGGCTTCTCTTGGCGTCCATGAATACACTCCACTGATGAAAACGACTACATCGACCATGATCCTAGTTATGGCCACTTTCACCATGATCCTTTGCGATTCAAATTAAAATACTTCCGTCTTCATGCGCCATTGGGAGTTTTCCATAGGAATACGTGGATGACGTCAGTGCTATCACTATCCACTGGTTTTAATGTCTATGGTAATACAGTGCATTCAGAAAGTATTCAGACCCCTTCCCTTTTTCCACATTTTGTTACATTACAGCCTTATTCTATTTTTTATTTTTATTTTTATGTCCTACATACAAAACCCCATAATGACAAAGCGAAAACTGGTTTTTAGAAGTTGTTGCAAATTTATAAAAAATAAAAAACAGAAATACCTTATTTACATAAGTATTCAGACCTCAGGTGCATCCTGTTTCCATTGATCATCCTTGAGATGTTTCTACAACTTGATTGGAGTCCAACTGTGGTAAATTCAATTGATTGGACATGATTTGGAAAGGCACACACCTGTCTATATAGGGTTGACAATGCATGTCAGAGCAAAAACCAAGCCATGAGGTCGAAGGAATTGTCCGTAGAGCTCCGAGACAGGATTGTGTCGAGGTACAGAACTTGCGAAGAGTACCAAAACATTTCTGCAGCATTGAAGGTCCCCAAGAACACAGTGGCCTCCATCATTCTTAAATGGAAGAAGTTTGGAACCACCTAAGACTCTTCCTAGAGCTGGCCGCCCGGCCAAACTGAGCAATCGGGGGAGAAGAGCCTTGGTCAGGGAGGTGACCAAGAACCTGATGGTCACTCTGACAGAGCTCCAGTGTTCCTCTGCGGAGATGGGAGAACCTTCTGGAAGGACAACCATCTCTGCAGCACTCCACCAATCAGGCCTTTATGGTAGAGTGGCCAGACGACAGCCACTCCTCAGGAAAAGGCACATGACAGCCTGCTTGGAGTTTGCCAAAAGGCACCTAAAGGACTCTCAGACCATGAGAAACAACATTCTCTGGTCTGATGAAACCAAGATTGAACTCTTTGGCCTGAATGCCAAGCGTCACGTCTGGAGGAAACCTGGCACCATCCCTACGGTGAAGCATGGTGGTGGCAGCATCATGCTGTGGGGATGTTTTTCAGCGCCAGGGACTGGGAGACTAGTCAGGATGGAGGGAAAGATGAACAGAGAAAAGTACAGAGAGATCTTTGATGAAAACCTTCTCCAGAGTGCTCAGGACCTCAGACTGGGGCGAAGGTTCACCTTCCAACAGGAAAACGACCCTAAGCACACAGCCAAGACAACGCAGGAGTGGCTTCGGGACAAGTTTCTAAATGCCCTTGAGTGGCCCAGCCAGAGCCCGGACTTGAACACGATCGAACATCTCTGGAGAGACATGAAAATAGCTGTGCAGCGACGCTCCCCATCCAACCTGACGGAGCTTGAGAGGATCTGCTGAGAAGAATGGGAGAAACTCCCCAAATACAGGTGTGCCGAGCTTGTAGCGTCATACCCAAGAAGACTTGAGGCTATAATCGCTGCCAAAGGTGCTTCAACAAAGTACTGGATAAAGGGTCTGAATACTTATGTAAATGTTATATATTTTTTATTTAATTTCTTTGTGCAAAAATTTCAACAAAACTGTTTTTGCTTTGTCATTATGGGGTATTGTGTGTAGATTGATGAGGGGGAAAAACTATTTAATCAATTTTAGAATAAGGCTGTAACGTAACAAAATGTGGAAAAGTCAATGGGTCTGAATACTTTCCGACTGCACTGTACATGCCTATGGGCCTGCACATGGGTCCAAATAATACAGATTATTAGTAGTTAAAAAGTTCTCATGGTGTATGTCCTCTGCCGTTAATATATCAGGAATCATTTATAGCTAAGATATTCATAGTTTGCACACACGTTTAGTATGTGTCAGTGTGTGTTTATGCCTTGTCAGAGAAATGTGTCTTCACTCAGAGTAGTCTGGTTCATGTGTGTGAATAAAGTCGCAGGCCTCCGAAGCCACACTGGCAATTGGGAAAACAGGTTTAACATTTACAGACTGTGATTAGGTTTATTTCTCCCTGAAGCAGAGAGAGGTCTCGTGACAGTTGTGGATACACACGAAAG